TTACTGAAGCCCTACAGATGTGCGGCTGCTGCGCCATTACAGCGCTTTTCGTAGAAGTGTCTCATTCGGAAGCTTCCTAAAATCTTAAATGAAGTTTGTGTTCCTACATTATTAGTGTAATTTATGTTTTTAAGCGTTACGATCCTTATAATGTGTCAGTAGCTTAAAATGATCGTTTTAATGGCCAAAAATGGCAAAATTTAATGGCCAATATTGTAAAGGTATTTTTTTCAATAAATAAATCACATACGTTACTCCGATCTCAAAGTACGTAACTGGAGCACTTGTGTTATGGAAATCGTAAACAAAAACGATACGACAAGCACTTAGATCAACTGTTATGGACAAGCGTCGCGCTCACCACCATGCGCACAATTTGTTCGTCACGTTGCTTCGTGTCTTGGTAAGATAAAAAAAACTATAAAAATGTGTATTCCAATACCATTGAAGAATATCCATATTCCAAAATAAAAAGTGCTTAACAAAGGCTCAGAGAGGTTTATAAAAACAAAGAAAAGCCACATCAACAAAAAAGACAAAGAAAAAAAAACTAAAAAGAATAAAGATAAATTACACAAAGTAGGGCATCATATCATAAGCAGGGCATCATGTATTATAAGAATAAGTTAAATGTCTTGATAGTATACATTGACTTACAAATAAATGGACGACGGGTTTAATACAAAAACCACGAAAAAAATGTCCCAAGTCAACCTATTTAAACGTAGTGATATATAAAGCAATATGAAAAAGTTAAAACGTTGAATTTAAATTGTAATGTCATCGCAGTACTGTCTAATTTTGCTTGCTTCGCTGTCAGTCGAACAAACGAAGACTAAAGCGTGAATGACGCTCTGTATACGATTTTAACGCCCTATAAGTTCGGACACTTTTTAGCGCGGACCCGACGTCCATATAATTGTAAGTTAATGATAGTATAAATAAATTATACCCGTTGAGCTTTATTTCGACCAAAAACTGCACCCCGTATACATATGCCATAACACGAAATAACTACGAATTATACGTATATATATCACTCGGCAACGTACAATGTTACCAACGGCTGACCAATTACGCATTCATTCGCTTCCGAATCGGTTTAATCCGGTAAAAACTGGCGCAATTTGAATACCAGAATTCGCAATTAAACGTTACCATTTGAATGGAACTCAAATAAGTATAGTTCCACGGCTTGAAATATAGGCTGAGGCCCTTTGTCTTTGGGACGTGGAAATAGCTTTTGCAGCGGCGTTTATTTTGCTCTCCTTAGTCCAAGACACCTTGAATAATTGCTCCTTGGCTATTAAGTGGGTCGTTATCGATCTAATTACTTACAATTATTATCTTTACTTTTCACATAATATACGTGTAATGTGTTAGTTTAAAGTATACCTACATGTTTTCTTACTAGGAAGGACGTAAATACGTACCACTACGTGATTTATTAAAACACTATATTATTTTCGTAGCACTAGATCGCCTTGTGAAAGAGTTCGTCCAGAGAAGTACTGCCTTATCTGTTTCTGTCGTCAAGCAGAAATATGAGTATTACTGTGTTCCGATTTTGAAGCGTAAGGGTTCTGGTAAAATTACAGGCACATGGGACTTGTCAACTTATGTCTTAGTGTGACGGGCGCAGCGGCAGTGTCGGATCTTTGCGGTTCAAAGTTCTGAGTGGCAGTGTGTCGCTTGCCAGCTTGCTTTTTCGCGTTGCTTATTATCATAAAGAAACACTAAACTTAAATAAAAATTATAATGGCAATCGTAAGGGCGGTTAAAACAGATACAAACGACCGTCTGTGAGAGGCGATTGCATTGCAACACTGCAGTGATAGATGTGAAGTGGCTGTTGCATCGATGCAAACGCTCGTTTTCATCAATGAAGTCGTTCATTCGTTGTATCATTAAAAACATGCGTCGTGTTTGCATCGCATTTGCATTGTGATTGCAACGTGATTGTATCGCTGCTTAAGTTGCCCGTGTGAAGGTAGACGATTAATGACTGCATCGCGATTGAATTGCTGCTGACGCGCTGCTAATAGGCTCCGTGTGTATCCGGTCTAAAACAAACTCATCCGTAGAACAAAGATCTATATGCAAGACTACTTGTTCTCAGGACATAGTACATTTCGTTCGTTCTTCTTTGCTGTGGAATGTCAGATCGACCGCTGTTCGATTTTATTAAGATGTCGTACTGCTATTATAATAGTGGTATAATTCAAAATATGTAAAATCCATGATCATATCGTTGTTGAACGTAAACATTCTCTACACGTCAATAAAACTGTCGTTAGAATATTGTAAAAAACAACAAAAGATATCTGCTTAACTCAAAATGAGACACGCTTTATGTGAGCTAGTTCCGTTCAAAATCTTTATTAAAAATTTATTTATCTTAATTATTTATCTTTATTTAAAAAAGTCTTTATTAAAAAATATGACACTATTTTTTCTCTTTTATTTTTAAATATGTATATTTTGGCAAGTAGGAAATAACTTATATGTAAATTTACACAGATCTTTCACGGGAAGCGAATAATTCGTTTTTCGTCGATTCTGAGAAAATATTTGAGTTAATACGCTATTGTATTAACAGTGAGATATATAGATTGTCAAAACACCTTTACATAGGCCTTAGTTTGAATAACTAAATTATTCTTGTAACGTGCGTATTCTCTTTTCGCTATATAATCACATCGGACTCTGTTCTTCGGATGAGTCGATACAGATATTTATTGAGAATTTTGATTGATTTGTGAAGTAACTCCACTAGTTTTATTATGATTAATTATTAATAAATTATTTATTTTATTTAAAATCTCTCACTAAATGTTACTAGCGGCGACCGAAAACCAGTACAAAGATCTATAACAAAAACGTATAGGAGAATTTCGACGGCTCGGTAACTGGACCCTTAGCTCAGTCGATAAAGAGCAATTCTACGGCGCAGCATGGACGTGGGTTCAAGTCCCACCGAGACGACGAAATTTTTCTGTGTGTTCGATCTTTGTAATCATAATCATAACATAATATAGTTATTTTAAAACAATTCACTGTTAAGCAGAGGATAATTAATACAGCTTTCAAAACGTTTTTAACGGCATCAGAGGAACACTTAGAAGTTAAAGTTTTTCTTCGTCTCACTTGGAATATAATTTAAACTTAAAACAGGCTAGCCTATCAGCTGTGGAGAGTGGATGGGCGGGATTCCGGTGGACTGCCCGCCCAGCATCAGTCCGCGTGTGCCCGTCAAACGGATAATACGTCTCGTGACGCTCCGTGTTTTGGAGGGAAAAACTTTACGGAAGACTTTTTTATCTTTTTTAATGATTTAATTTCACTTAATTGTGCTAGAAAAACTTACTATAAAACTGTGAAGTGCAATTTAAAAATGTGAGCTTACAGGATTTTGTTTCTAAAATATGGATTTCATATTTTTAAGTTGGAAGTGACAAAAGACTATAGAATCATGATAGGTATGTAATTACTTTAGTTCAGTTGTACTTAATTCTTGATTAGTTTATTATTTATAGTTAATTGACTATGTTAATTGTCATATATTTGGTGAATGATTCAACAATGCGTGTAATACAATACAAATACCCTTTATTGCACATGAGAACAAATATGAAAATAGAGAAAATTAAAAGGGCTCAAAAGTAGTCGTTATTGCTAGACAGCAATTACTTCCAGGCAATCTTGGAGCGTCAAGATAATCTAAGAAAAGAAAAAGGAAATTAATTAAAGCGTACAAGTGCACATGGAATACGAACTTAATAATTATATTACACTTAAGCGTACGATGAATAAATAAATTACTTAAGTAATAAAATACTTAAATAAGAATTTGGTGAACATTGTTCATACAATACATAATTAATTGTAAATTCTTAATAAGGTTATAAATTTCATGAAAACACATTTATGAAAATAAATTTGTAATAATATTTAATAATAGTTAAATAATTAGTAGTAAACAGTGTGCAGGTGCACAAAAAATACTTTATATTTTTTAATTAAGGTTCAATTTGTGAGCATGTTACGATTTTTTCCGTGTTTACTTATTTTATATGGAGAATTTCGTTGAAAATTGTTGAAATTCAGAATTTGAAGCATTCTTTGAATATTATTACATTTTTCATAAAATTTAAATCAGTATTACAAAATAAAGGAATAAGTAACATTTTTTAACATTTTCTGAGATTTCACGACGTGAACATAAGCTTAGCAGCGGCATCCATTATAAGAATTGCACATAGCAATAAACTAGGTTGAGTTATGCACACGTAACTTTTATAGCGCATACTTGCACAAGTTTAAGTATTTCATGGTCTAAAGCGACTCTGACTCAGCAAGTGGGTCGCTAGGAGCTCGGGCTGTAGTAAATAAAGCGACTACGCGGGGAATTTTTCTCAGATTTATGTTATAGTCCACTATGAAAGACATAACACTAAATTTAAAAATACCGATTAACTGCTACAGTAAACGGATAACTCGTTCGAATTTATAGCTAGTACCAGCTCTAAAAGCTTTTAACTTTGTTAACTCCGTTGTATGGCCAAAGTTTGAGTAGTTCCAGTCTCTGCAAGGAATACTTAGAGCGCCAATCAATTTATTAGTAGTTAAATGAATGTAATTAAGGTAAAATTAGTCCTTCATATTCGATACCTGTATAATAATTTAATTGAAAATACAATTTGTGAAGGGTCGTTATTTTAAGTAAGTAAACTAGTTAGCTTCGGATGAAACTTTAAAGTTATATGAACAAGGCGTTGTTACTTCGGGGAAGGTGCTGAGAGTTCAATACTGTATAATTTAATTTTCCATAATGATTTGTTAGTGGAATACAAACTTTATACAAACTCCTACAATATAAAACGCCGCCTGCGCCCCGCGCACGTGTGGGTCTGTAGGCTTAAAATGAGGGGACGTAGACACACTTGAGAAACCTTTCTTTTCGCTATTGACGACAGCGCAACGCAAGCACGGAGATTGAGATGACAGAAAGAGATATTGTCATCTACGTAAAGAGTCATCTACGTCGCGATAGAACAAGTACAATTACTCAATTATTTTTCGGTAACTTCAAACTGGTACGGGTACAAAGGGGCATTAGGGCGCCCTCATTTTGGTCGTTATGTTTTTTAAACGGTTCTTGACGTTTATTAAATCAGTGTAACAGAAATATGATAATGATTTTCCTAAATAGCTTTCTTTATTACAGTATAAAATGTATACCGTATTTGGACAATACATTGCCATGATAATATAAACTTGAAGGCGTTAAATTTTATAACCACCAACATTCACGGTCAATACTATGATTATTAGGTACGCGACTTGTTTTGTTAAAAGCAAAAACTAAAAAGTGCAACAACACGTCAAATACCTTGTCTACTGATGAGAGGGCGGCAAAGATATTTAACTATGAAAATCTGTTAAAAGTACACAAAATATGGCAGTCATGGTATGGAGCTAGAGAAATTGTAATCATTTGATATTTGTGTACGCGATGGCTTTAATTTCGTGATTCTAGCCTGCATGTACAGAGATAGCTCGTAATGACGTCATTTTCGCGAGAAAACTGACAATTCTGAGAAGCGATAAGTTTTGTTTTCGGGTTCATGTTAAGCATACTGGCTGAGCCTAAATGCAATTCAGATGAAAATCCAATAACATGTTTTAAACGCATGTTGGCATGTGTTTTGCTAACACGCTACGCTTGTCTTCTGAACCGGCCCAAACTGATTGGGTGTAATCTATAAACAGTATCGCATACATTAGATATAGAACCATACACACGGTGTTTGTCCTGAAAAAAATGCACGCATCTCTATATGTTAATCGAATACGTAACGGATTTGTCAAGCAAATCGAATGAACTTTACCGTATTTGGTGTGCAGTGGCGCATAGTATTAATGCATCGCTTTGACACGGTTCGAAGTCATACGTTTTTTGTCGAATAGTCACCGAATAAGCGGCGTCTAGTATTGAAGTATCTTTTGGAAGGAGGGCACGGATAATTTTATTAATAGAAAATAACAGGCGAATCTTCAGTGGACAACGATTTATTCATATCTTTAGCGGAACAGCCCGTCTTTTTTCATAATTTCTCTGATTTTCGTACAATTTCTCAAATGTGCTTTACTGGTTTTCAAAATACTGCTTTTAAAATTTTTCAAGTGTTTGTAGGCACTGCTTTCTTAATTCATTGGATGAACCCAATACCTTCTGTTCTTCCAGCGGCAAAGCCGTTATATCTTCTATGCCAACATAAAAGCGTGGATCCATCACAGACGTGTCCTCAGTGCGATTGCTGTGTGAATACTGTGGCTATCCGTCTTTTAAACGCATGAAATATAACGTGTGAACACCCCGCTGTCTATCCGTTTGTAATCGTTAAAAAACGCGCAGGTCAATGCCGTGTGAACGAAGGTTAAAGCATTGTTTGGTAATAAAGTATCTATTCAATTAATAATTGATTTTCAAAGTTATTTAGACATTATTTACAAAGTTAGGCACTGTGACTGTGAAATTACTTGAATTGCAATTTCGCGTAGTATGCGAAGTGTGTTGTGCCGCAAGAATTTGAGTTCATGTAAATGACTGCCTCATAATTGTTACAGAGCTGGTAATATCATGGATGCTCATTACCGTGGCGGTGGTACAAGTTACGGGATCGAGCGACAAGCGGCCCCATTTCACCGTGGAGCCACCGTCTCGTATCCTGTGGCCTGCAACGCGTGGCGCTTACGCCATCTGCCACGCCACTGGCCATCCACCGCCAGACATACACTGGGTTACCGCTGAAGGACAGATTATGACCACTATACCTGGGTTAAGGTAAAGTTATAATAAATCGTGAGCTTCTGTCCTATCTATAAAGCACAAGTAGGTTTGATTTCTTAGTTATAGAGTTACCGGTAACGTTCTGAACTTACTTAATGTACTTTGAACTGAATTACAGTTTTGTTTACTGTTTGGATTGAACATTACTTTTTAATTTAGTTTAGGAGTTCTCGAAGTAATTACTATTATAGTTATACATAAAGTTATGTCTAGGAACCAATTGCCAATGCAATGCCTATAGTAGAGATTTGAAAAAGTTCAATTATACGTCACATCAACAAAAAGACAAAGAAAACAAAACAAGAAAAAGAATTAAAATAATATAACAAATAGACAAAGTAGGTCCTCATGACCAGTCACGTGATGTTTGAAAGTGACGTCCGATACTCAATATAACACAAAGTTAGTGTTTTGTGCTTCTGAAATATCTTACTAAGGTTCTGTACTAAAACGTAAATACAAAACTGCTTTGTTGTCTAGGTGCATAGTAACCACAGTTGCGGTAAGCGTTCTCTGGCAGAGTTAGGAAAGATTTGTAGCAGCGCGTTTGATCTACGATACATCGTTCGGGCGTACACCACGTACAATTTACTGTTTACGCTATTTAAATTCAAATTTAAGTCCATAATTGATTACAGCCGTCTCTCAAGTCTTTGTGTGCTAGCAAAGTTCGGCAACTGATCGATGTTAAGATTAAGTATAGATTGAAACTTCCGTCGCGAAGAGTCGACGACATATCTATTAAATAAACTACCCAACTTTACCTATATTTTAGTATGAAGCGATACGCGACCGCCTAAGTTAATATTTACTGCCTACACTAGAGGGAATACCTTCGCTATTATGAGAGCCCAGAATGCGCACTAACATTCGCCATATCTCTCGCTAAGATTAATTATATGTATAGTGCATACTTTAGATGCAATTAGAAGGGCGAGAGAGTGATTAATCTGTCCGTTGGACTTTGCGGCTTTGCCTGCTTAATTTACTCTAATGATATTATGGCAATGTAATGTTTTAGCAGCAATGGAGTGCCTTGTGAGAGAGTTCCTTCAAGGAAGTACTACTACCTTACCTATTTCTGTCGCTAAGCCGTAATGTGACGAGAAATACTGGAGAAATTACAGGCACATGGGACTTGTCAACTTTATGTCACAATGTGACGGGCGCAGTAGCAGTGCCCTTCAGATCTTTGCGATTTAAAGCTCTGTGTGGCACTGCAACTGTTATGGATAGGCGTGTAGCTTACCTTCAGGTACAGGACTTGTTCGTCCCGCCACTTGATAAAAAAAATACTGTCAAAAACAAAATGTAGGCCAATAAATAGCATCGTGTCTTTGATTCAGTACAAACATACAATTAAAACACAGTAAACAGTATATAGTAAAATAAATATATACATAATTTGTGATGAAATAGATAAAATTGACATGTTAAAACAAACGACAAGAATCGGTAAATTGCGTAATCTAATTTACCTACCAAGGTATATTCTTCCTCCATACAATAACAATTATGGAAAGCGTATCTAGAGATATATGTTACCATTACCGCTTAATAAATTGCCAAGTGACGTTTTTGATAAACTTATAGGTAAACCAAAAAATTGTAAAACGATCCTTAGGTCAATTTATTTATCAAATTGTTAAAGTTATTAGTTCTTAAGTGTAAGCTGCGTAAATTATTAGATACGTATAAGTATTGGTCAGTAATTATTTTGTTAGACGCCTGATAGCATGTGATGGCAGCGATATATAAATCTGTTAATGGTGTTTATTCGCTGTCTTGTGTTTCTTTTTGTAAACTTTTTAATTGTGAATAAAATAAATAAATAAACAATAAATAAAAAAAATGTATTCTCAATATTTATAAAAACGTTAGTTGTGCCTTTTTCGTTTCGATGGCAGTATAGGTTCCTTCGGGTCAGTAAAAATCATAAATATCGATCAGATCTTTTGCGATTTTAAGCTCTGTGTGGCACTACAACTATTATGGACCAGGTGCACGACTCGTTCGTCCCGTCACTTGGTATAATAAAATAAAATAGTTATATATAACTCCCTTTTAATGTTTACGTATACTCGCAAATAAAAAGTAAGCTAGGTACTCTGTTATAGTACCTAACAGATCAGAAACTTTCCAGGCAGGTGTAAAATTTTTGAACTTATAACTTCCCACAACTAGAAATTGCAAAGTTTGTATGGAAAATATGGAAACATTGGCATTTTGCATTCAAGATTCGCACCTGAGCAAATGTTATGTAAAAGCTACTACAAGTTCTTGAAGATTCTAAACACAGTTCCCTCTTTGTTCGCAGCGTACTGTTTACGAGCTTTGTATTTTTAATATGCCACTTTTGAAAAGTAAAGTTTCGAAGTCACTTTGGTAAAAGGACATTACGAGATGGTGAACAACCTCTGTCCGAGGTCAATTACAATAAAAGGAAATTCACCAAACTTGGTGTTTTGTTTAAGTAACTGTTTTCTTAGGTACTCAAGAATTTAATAACAAAGTGAACAATACTGCTCTTCTTTAAATTATTTACGGACTTGTTTTCGGTTCTTTAATGATATTCAAAAATACGATGCGTTGGTTACTTAACAAAGTTATGGTATAAAGTATTTCCTTAAAATAAGGAAATTGTAATATTGAGCCGATCTGTCTTCTGAACATACATCCATCATTTGTGTAATAAGTTTGCTCAAAATAAATGTACGTACAATTGGCCAAAAGTGAATATTTGAAGAAGGTAAGCAGATGTAAAAGCTATGAAGCGAATGCTACGACACTTGGCATTTTTGTTCGATACTTAAAACTAAGTTTCTTAGACGATTGGAATCGTGGATTCGCATATAGTATGTAGTACTTAAGTAATATATACATTAGAAATAAAAAATATATTTATTAGTGTGATAATTTAGTAATCTAGATGGCGTTGAGACCGAAATGAAACGCGCTTTCAGTGTTCACATGAAGTGAAAAACATCAAGCATTGCATTTTGTACACGAGAAAGAATGAGCTTAGGTCTCTGCTGCACTACCTACCTTGCTTCCGGGGAAAAGCGTTATGCTTCGATTACCGTGACTACCGTTCCAGTTACAAAAAAAATCACAGTGACAAATTACCGTGATTTTGTCACGCCTATCACTTACGTCACGATAAATGGTTTTGGCAAGCGGCTACTTTCTAGTAGTCGTTATTAATAATCATTTTTTATTTCTTCGTTCATAATTAGAATTTAAAAACAAAAGCGAGCTACAATGAGTACCGCAGTCGCCAGGCTCTTACAGAACGGAGTTTTCGCGCATGATTTTGTTTGTGAAATACGTTATTTATCAACTACCTCTAGTGGGACTGTTCTGGGACATGCTAGTTAGTCTGCTGAAATAATGTGCCAGACAGCCATATCAATTGTCTGGCGGTATTCATTCCGAGGAATTACCCAGATCACTCAGATTGGGATCGATTGAGAAAAGGACACTTCTCATATTAGTCCTAACGGAAATCGATCCCGGGACCTCCTCATCCGACGTCCAAAGTGCAAACGGCTGCGTAGAACAGGTTTTTGCGTAGCTTTCGTAGCTCGTGTGCGAGTGCGCGTGCGTGTGCGTGTGCGTGTGCGCGTGCGTGTGCGTGTGCGTGTGTGAAATGTCAGTATTCTGCAAGACTTTAGGCTCCGTAATGTTACGGATTGCATTTTAAAATCCTTTTTCTTCATTAAGCTAGGTAATGTGAGTTACATTTTGCTAATGAAAAAAGCGACTTTATTTGGGAACCTTTCAATTAATTTTAATTCTCACTGAACATGAAAAATATTTGTTGTGTACTAATATTTTCCCGAATGTTTTATTTTGTTTTGTCCTTGCCATAATACCACAGAACAGACACATTTACAATTCTTAATTTTTTTATGTCACCCGGTTATACAATATTACTAAAAAATGGACCATTATTATGTACCCTAACAAAGCAAAGGATTAAATTGAACGGGGCTTAATAAATTACATTTCAATGGTGCGGAGCATGTTAAGGCTAATAAATTTCCCAGCTTCCGATCAGTCCCGGAGAGTTGGACAGAGTTGGGTGAAGTTGGCCGCCGACGTGTCCGGCCGCGTATGGAGTTACCAACTAGTTTGGTCTTCACCACCTTAACTTTGCGCAATTAACCTTTACTTTGGACTGACTATTAGGATTAGGTTTATATTGAATAGACACAAGTTTGGAACGGCCGGAATTAATTAGATACAATAATAGAGGATGTATAATAAATGAACAATTGAATGTTGCGTTATTTTCAAATTTTAAAGGTGGTAATGGGCAATGGAAAAAATTTGTCGATGTAATATCGTTTCGATATTTACAAACAATATCAATATTTATCGAGAGAAATGTTATACCGATATTTTTCCCAAAGCCAATACTTACCAAAATATATGTATTAAGTATATGTATAAAATAAAATTCTAAAAATTGTAGGCACGTGTCGAAGTTGTAACAAATTTTATTAAAGAAAGATTGAGTGAGAAATAGAGTAATGGTCGCCTGCTGCAATTTGTTCTACAAAACTACGCTGAACAAATTATGTAATTGGTATTATTTGCAAATATTCACATAGTACTTGCTTTGGCTGCGATAAAATAGATCGATTTTTGATATATCGAGATTAAAAATATCGACATTTTTTACCCAACTCTATTCTTCAGCCGAGTGTCGAACTATCAACAACCCCTGAGGAACCCTCCCAAAAAAAGGCATATAGAAACTCATGTATATTTTTGGTGGTGGTATCTGTGTAGTTGCGCTTGTGTTATTTATTTTATTAATTTTATATGAGGGTAAAATTACCTGCATGAAAAAAAATATGTTCACCACAAGCGCAGTTATTTACAACGATTTAACGATAGTCGATAGTACACTGACAACTGCCTTCGTGGCCGAACGGTGACCATGCGGACCGCCACGCAGAAGTTCCGGATTCGATTCCCGGGCGGGG